GGGTATAACAGAGTCTTGGCTTTCTGGGGTTGAAGGGGACTCTTGGCACTTTGCATGCACGCGTGCAATTACGGTTAAGCTAAACAAACAGAAAACTTGCTTTTTCCCCAATCTGCATGTATTTTGACAAATTAATCTCCCTAGGTCTAAATAATTTGGAGGGTTCTCATCTTTTCTTCGCTCAGTATTTGTGAGAAAAGACGGAAAGACAGCACTAAATTAAATAAATGCTGTGAGCTGGTTAATGGGGGTACTCTTCTAATAATAGTAAGAGTAAAACCAGAGAGGGTTTGGTAAAACCTGCAAGAAGCGTGCACAGCAAGCAAGTCAACGCGGCGAAAACAGAAAACAGAAGAGTTCCAATGCCGGAGGGCGAAGGACGGCTTTACAAAAATAACGCGAAAGTAAAATTTGCGGTATCTTTTTACAAATATAAAATTCCCTTTGTGATGCAGAATAGATCTTGATTTTGGGATTAAAAGTGTATGCTGAATAAAATATGAAAAAATACACTATAAAGAGGCTTATTTGGTTTGATAAAGTAGCGTTTTATCGCATGGTACAGAGAGTATTATTTGAAGAATGCTGGGAAAAGTTCGGCGCCATCTTCCCATAACAGTGTTTTCTGTAGCGAGAGTAGCGTTGTTGTTTGTACGATTGCAACTTGTAGTTTACAACGTTAGGTGTGAATTTCCAAAAGAAGTGGAATTAAAGTGATTTTTAGGTAAGCACACTGATTGCATGCATTATTCACCCATGTTGAAATGCCTGCAAGGGGTTTTGAGCATTTACAAGTGATTGTTGTTTTGTTTTATGTGTGTGTATGTATGTGTGTGTGTCAGTGTCTGTCTTGTGTTCCAGCCAACAAAAGAGAACGCCAGGTTTGTGTGTATCTTTGGTTGGACACTCACTATCAGTCTCTACTTAACTACATGTAGAGCTAGATAGCCTATACAGCAACTTCTACAACTGTTACAGCTCATGATGTTTTGCAATCACAGCTACAAGTCACACTATACCTCACACTATAGTCACAAGTTCAACTGAGAACAGAGAACAACAAACTCCTGGCCACTGGCCTTGGCCTTTGTGATTTGTCGCCAATGTGATTGTGCTCTAGACTCTAGATATCTAGATCTAGAATCTAGATCTAGATAGATCTATATAATTGAGTACCGGTAAACAGCCTGTTGCTGTTCTGAAGTTAGATGTAATCTAGAGATCTATCAATTCTAGATCTATATCTAGATATAGATCTATATCTAGATCTAGATTCTAGATCTAGATCTAGAAATCTAGATATAGATTCTAGATTCTAGATTGGATTCTGAAAAGAATTCCCCAGTGTCAGTGTCACTGGGAATAGGCCCAGAAACTATTCCCAGTGACACTGAGACTGAGAACAGACAGGCCCATTAGGCCTAATCATTAGATCTAGGTTCTAGATCTAGATCTAGATCTAGATCTAGATCTAGAAGAATCTAGATCTATTGTTCCCACACTAATTTACATGGACATGATGGTGATGGTTTACTAAATAAATACTAGATCTAGATCTAGATCTAGATCTAGATCTAGATTCTAGACTATATTATATGTATATAATGTAGAGTAGATCTATCTAGATTCTAGCTAGATCTAGATCTAGATCTAGATCTAGATTCTAGATCTAGTTGAAATTTTTAGTTTGCAATGCCTAACTTTAGCCTAAAGTATTTGTATTTCAGACAAAACCGAAAGGTGCCTTACTGACTTGCATGTATTTGAACCTGAATAATTACTAGATCTAGATCTATTGAGACCTGTGTACTAAACAGGCTTGAGTCGATAGGGCCAAACCTAGATCTAAGTACGGCTAGCCACTTAGATTATCATTCTATTTCTATGCTTGCTTGTTATTCTGTCGTAATTTATTTATGTATGTGTAGTCAGTGTAGATCTAGATCTACATACGAATTTTGGAGACCACGGTCATGGGTGCCAGACTTCCGGGCTCAGCCCGGAAATCCGGGCTGACAAAATTTCACAGCTTCACTTTCCGGGTTGCATCGGGTCTTTAAAAAGGAAAAAGAAATACCGCAAAAAAATTAATTAATCGCCGAAAAAAATTTGGCTCCTAACGATCGAGTCCGGCCAAGCGTAATGGACTTTTAAAAACTGGTATAGTGATATATGCCTGCAAGTTCCGGATGCGATAGTTCGTTTCATCTGTCTGATCATCGGAAACGCCGGTGACGGGATCGAAAGGATAAATAAATTACATGGCTCAAATAAGGGGTGAACGATTTCCAAATATTGGAAATCGGATTTTTGGTATCCCTTCGTTTTTTTTCAAGTTAGATCTGTTCGCGTGAAAACCGGGATCAGTGTCAGTGAGACGTAAGCTAAGTCAGTGAGTGGTCGTGTCGTAAGCTAGCCTACCGCAGACCTGCCACTCATCCCGATCGGGATATCCCGATTTTTTCCCCAAATCTCAAGCATCCCGATTTTCCCGATTTCGCCAGTATCCTGATTTTTTGTCGTTGCATCTGTTGCGGCTGATTCTTAGAAAAAAATATAAAATGTTCTGAAATCTCTTTTGCTTGGAAGCACCAATTGGATTTTTTATCTGCAGGAACTTGGAACGCTACTTTCTAAAGCATCTATGCCGAATCTAGTAGATGACTCACGCATGCTATTTCAACTAAAACCGACATAGTATCGATTTTGAATTCCGACATGGATACGCTCAAGATGTACTTTCGCTTTTATAACCCAGAATTCTCCGATGTTGTCCTGATTACTGTAACAATTATGACATAGGCCTAAGAATAATCTATTCGTTGTTCTGCAATTGCTTTAAAAGCAAGCTTCGCCTGAGTTCTGGTTAGTCGGGCCCGTCATCAACAAGACCTCAGTGGAACTTTCAAACGCTCATTCTCTTCACGTAACATGACTTCATACGTGTGAGTAGCGCGTGTGTTGGGGACCGCTGGCTGTCGGGGTCTACAAAGTTCATTCACACCGGTCGCTTTGGTCGAGGTGTTTTTCGGGACCTAACCAGTGTGGACGACCGGGGGGAGGGGGGTGGGGGTATTGTTTTGACACTTGGGCTTGAAGTGTGTGCCGTGATACATGTATTAATTAATTGAGGACAAAGTGAAGGAATAAGAAAAAAATGAACAACCCTGGCGCGATCTTTTCTTTTTTTTGGGGGGGGGGGAGGGGGGGGGTTGCCTTGAGTGTATATATATGCGATCGAAGTCAAACGTTGTTACTGTATGAAAACGCGGGCTTTTTGCATGGATGAGAGTTATGTGTCAGCTATTTTCAAGACTACGAGAGTTTCAGCTTTACTACAATCTGCGCTCCCCCAGTCTATCCAACTTTGACTCGAGTAATGCTGTCTTTCAGTTTTCCTTCTATTCAGAGGCCCAAGCGTGAACTTATTCCTGCAAAAGTTTTCTCCTGCATACTTGCCTCATAAGGCAACCAGGAACCCCCCCCCCTTTCCCCAGTACCCCTTATGACTGATTTGCCGTTGATCCCATTTTGTTTCACCAGGTCCTGATTTTTTTTACTTGAAAATCCAGATTTTTAGATTTCATAGAGTGGCAGGTCTGCTACCGTCAACCTCAATGAATTCAAATAGATTTCTAGATCTGTGCAAGCTCTGTTTGATTTTTGAAGATGAAGTTTCTAGATAGACCTGCTTCTACGGAGGAATTGGAGAAAGGTGTAAAACATAAGTGGCGTTGGCAATGGTTTGATGAAATTTTCGACGATGTCAAAGTTTCTGTGTGGTTTAGGAAAGTCAAACAACCCGGGGTGCATTCTTTTGCCTTAGTCAGGCAATCTCCAAGACCCTTTAAAAAAACAAAAAAAAAAAAAACCTAAGACCACCAACATAACTGCCTTCTTTAAGAAAGTGTGAGCTTGGACTCTGCCTCCTTATGGATAAGGAGTAAGAATGGTATCCACTGCTGGATCCTAGCATGCATCATAAAAGGCGACTAAATGGTTCAACAAGCAACATACAGACGACAAGGAAGGAAGAGTTTTCATTTTTTTTTAAATTTCAGGGTTGGGAAAATTTTGGATATGGGTTTTCAGGGCTGGAAAAAATTTTCACTGGCACCCATGACCACGGTACAGGACAGATAGTAATCCTTTCCGATTCTTCTTTCTTCTAGATCTAGATCTATTCTACGGTCAAGTCTTAAACTCTTAGGATAGATGTGCACTATAGGCACTAAAAGGGGGTAACTCTGGCCCTAAGTAAGAGAAGAGAACAAAAGTACTGAACTGAAGTGAGAGAAGAGAATTTACAGTGCAAGGCAAAGACTTCTGATTTTTTTATGCAAAGCCAAAAGAGTTCCGTTGTCACTGGGAATAGTTTCTGTGCCTTTCCCCAGTGTCACTGGGAATAGTCACTTCGTTCTAAAAATCACTTCAGATCAGTGTATTGTCTGCACACTTGACTGGTGGGCATCCTCGAATCTAGCCAAACCCCATCATGGCATAGAATCTAGATCTAGACTAGATCTAGATCTGAATCTGGAATCTAGTTCAGTAGATCTAATATAGAATCTAGATTTTAGATCTTATCTATAGAATCTAAAAAATCTAGATCAAGGTTTTTTTGGAAGTGTATATTTGCAACACCGCGTTGCGATTAGCGCCAGTGCTAAATAAAACGCCGCGTTGCGATTAGCGCCAGTGCTAAATAAAATGCCGTGTGTAAAATATCAAGCTTAATCTGCTCATCGTTATTGGAAGTTCTGATGGCCGAAGTGACAGTTCGTCTGCGCTTGAAGTCAAACCATTATTTTTTTAGCGTGGGTTCGATCCCGGTCCTGGATGTTTTTTGTTTTGTTTTTCTTGTTTTTTTGTTGTTGTCCTCTTCTCGACTGACCAACAAATTGTTCCCGTAATTATATCTTGTTGCTAAAACTGAGCGAAGTGTATACTGGGAACAAATCACGAAGTATGCAGACACAGTCGGGGAAATCTTTTGTGATTTCGTAAAGTTTCAGCGCCCAGACCCGGTACTGTGTGTGTGTGAGAGAGAGAGAGGCAGAGAGGAAAAGAGGGGAGAGAGGCAGAGAGGAAAAGAGAGAGAGAGGAAAAGAGAGGAGCGAGACAGAAAAATAGAGAGGGTGACTGTTCGATTGAAATATATGGCATTGTTCTTTTCTTCAAATTGTGATTTCTCCAACTCCAAAACGGAGGAAAAACGATCGTTCTTTGAAAAGACATCTGCAATCTTCATTTAGATTTAGGCCTTGAAACTAGATTAATGATTTATGTCTGTCTTGTCTAGATCTAGACTTAGGCCATAGAGATCTAGAAGAACCTAGGTCTACCTTGAACGAAGGGGGCGTTGAAACTTTCCGAAATCACACAAGATTTCCCCTACCGGGTCTGTATACTTTGTGACCCTACCGGGTCTGTATACACTCCCAAAACTGAAACAAGTATGCCATCTGATATAGTGTACAGTTGTTCATTAAAAGCCTTTGCCAAAAGGTGGGATGCCCGAGTGCGACAAACGAGGTTCAAAATCAACGAAGGCTCAACCCTGTGCGAATAGAATTATTTCTTATTTGCACACCCGGTTTGAATAACATTAATTCTTATTCGCACACCCGGTGTAAATAATCACTTCCTTTTTTTTCTTCAGAGGTTATGCCCCCCTGAAACGGCCCCAATTGGTTTGAAGCCCGGAAATTACTGTGCAATTAGGCCCAGTGTGTGATAAAGTTCGATTAAAAACCATCAAATATTTCAAAAACTATTAACATCTTCGCTTCCGTGTCGGTAGAATTTACGGGTCTGAACCGTATAGCACTGTGCCTATGGCCCATTAGGATTTACGGGACTGACAAGTTGTTTTGATACCAATTAAAAAAGGAAGTTACTGCTAAAACCTTGTGATTATTTTGATACCAATTAAAAAAGGAAGTTACTGCTAAAACCTTGTGATTATTTTTGAGGCACCTTCTTTTATGTTTACCCCCATTTCAATTGAAAGTGTCTTATTCGGGTTTTAGCTCGAAGAGAAAATTAGATCAGGATCTAACACATCTACCACACAACAAAATATGATTTACTGGCAGTAAACACTATACAAATGGGCTTGCGTGAACATGATTGTATATCTGCCGTCGTAAGGGAAAACGACGAATGGTAAAAAATTATCGATTTTTGTATTTTTATATATTTCATAGAGTATTTAATTCTGCATCTGATGGTGTAAAAATTTTGTCTTATCCTAATCCGTTGTTGCGTAATTGAGAGTTCGTCGTTTTCCCGTACACTGGCGAGCTCCGAGCCAGAGCTCAGTGTAAGGGAGAACGACGAATGGTCGATCGGTCAAGGATCATTGCTTGTTCGGCATTGTCCCCTGGTCTCTGCCGTTGGGCAAATTTGGCATGGGCGACGAATGACAACTGATCACTGTTGCGTCAGTACAAACATATTAGGGTTTTTTCAAACAAACACAGCATCACCCCCTCCCCCGGAAAACCGTCGACCAAGTTTATAAGAATGTATCACTTAGTGCGTCTTTCTGTCTTCAGGTATATGTATTAGGCCTATGCTGATTGTGTGAATTGAGAAGAGCAGGCGGGAGAGAGGGGAAAACGGATGGGAACAGGGGGAAAGGGGTGGGAATGGGAGGCTCAAAAAAATATTAAGGGAGAAATTTATTTGCACTGCATATTAGTGTCCGCCAGATGTTCACAGACTAACGTCATGCCAGTTTGCTGTTCAGTCATTTGACATCCCAAATCCCAACGATGGTAATAGTGCCGCAATTTGTCTAGCACGTGTCACTGGTGGACATCACTATAGAATTACCAAGCAATTAATGACACTGCCTTATGAGAGTAAATTTCTTTGTCCAACTTAAAAAGTGGACGTATTGTGGCGACACTTAGTCTTGCTTTACGATTTTTTATGACTTGATGGACTTTACGATCGAGTATAATAATGTCTTGCAGATTCAAACTGTCCTTGTCAATCTCTACTTTGTGGTATGGTTTCCGATCAACTGAATCCTTTATTAAATACAAAGCGTCGCATTACCTCTCCCGAAAGCGTTTGTGACAGTCTTGTCAGATTGTTACATTTCTTACGAGAAAGTTTGACTTTGCAATGATCTGATCGTATTATTGACATTGTAACATTGTTGATCCCTTTGGTCGTGCAGGGAAATTTTTGCATATAGCGAAAATAAAAGTAAAACTCGCTTCTGAAGAGAATACAATAAAGAGATAATATGGAGATCAAACTTTTGTTCCGAATGAGACAGTTGACAATCAAGCTGTTGAAAATGTGCGCACATCTGATTTGTACGCTGACTGTAGTATTTAACCAAGCGAGGAAGGCAAACGAAGGACGTTTACCGAGTTACAGTTGGGATATAACAAAC